GTAGGTATAAATAACTCTATGTAGGTACAACGGTTTTCTGTTTAAGATTAGAACACGTGATTTCTTTGGAGTTTTGTTCTTGTTTCTGTCACGTATTTATGTTTTTCTTCTTGATGTTCAGTAAGTTCCAGTAGGTATCTGTTATATATTTTTTGTTTGTAATAATGGTCTTGTTTTGTCTTTTTGACTACCTATGTACCAACATGTTTATAATGGTTAGAGCTAATGGTAAGCTAAACTCAAATTATTATGAGACCAAATCTTTGTAACACCTGACACAAATCTTTGTAATCCAGGGTGAATATCATTAAATATTAAACTGTATTAATTAGTTATCTATGTAAAACATTGTCTGCTTCATTATTTTTCATTTTCGATACTTAATTCATAAAATAACTGAAAATTATATTGTCTTAAACTCATTTTCAACGGCACCTAACATTGTTGGTAATGTTCTAGAAAGTATAAACTAACTTAAGCCCTATCCATAATGACTAAGTAAAATATTATAGATACCTATCTACCTACAGCTATGTTCGTCAAACATAATATTGAGTTCCTCAGGACTTAATATTACCAAAGAGAAAATCCCTAGAGCTGAGACCTTAATTTTCATAAGTCGTTTCATATTTAAAACTAAAGAAGATTGTTATAATTATGTCTAGTGACTTGTCTTAACTGTTTTGTAGGGAATTACGTAAGTATACGGTTCAGTGGCGTAGCGTGCCTTGGGGGGGCCCCGTATAAAAAATTGTTTAAGGGCCCTTGAAGGGTAACATTACTAACAAGAGATTTTTTTTATAAAATACTTATAATTTGTGTGAAAACCAAAAATCTTTTCAGGCAACTCCGCCCTAATTAACTTTATTTTTCTTAAGTTTCTGCCAACCATTGAACGCATGTTTTACGTGAAAAAAAATCGTTTATTTTGACTTTTGTAATTACTGAAATATAATAAAAATTGGGAAGTTTTTATTAATTTTTGCACGTTGGGGGCCCCTGTAGTGCGGGGACCCGTATAATTGATACGGCATATACGGCGCTAGCTACGCCCCTGATACGGTTACCATCAGAATTTCTAACGGGCAATTATAGATTTCCTGGACCTTTAGCCAAACGCCACTTTAGCGCTTGTCTACAGAGAGAGAGAGTAGAAAACTAAATGTATGGGTATGACACTGACAAGTGTCAAAATTTACGTCAATTCCATATAATTTGGTTTTCTATTCTACATGTAGACAAGCGCTAAATGGCATTTGGGTACAGCTGCTGGTCGTCTAGGGCCCGTAGACGTGGACTCGTAGCCGTGCAAATACTGGAATTTTTGCCCTACGTCTTTGTTACAATTTTGACTTGAAAATTTATAGCAGGGGGCCTATTGCTTTTACAGGTCTTGACATCCTATTGTAAAGTTCGGGAATGGATGAATAGATTTGCAAGTGACGCGCGCAATACAAGTACCTACCTAATAAAACAAAATTTTATGACGCACCTTACCTTTATGCAGGTAGACTTTAAGCTAAATACTGTATACCACAATGTGAAAAAAGTTTAACAATAGAGAGATAGGACGCAGTAATAAAAAGTAAGGCAATAATACATCATCACCTGTTTATTTTCCCACGCTAAGTATTTGTATAGATCGATATCGACTGAAGGACGTTAGTTGGTATCGATTAATGACGTTCCAACATCGGAGTTTAGAACAAAACCTATATTATTGATTTGGAAAACTCAACCCAAGACCATAGGAAATAGGCGGTCGTTCTGGTCTGCCGTCCCATTGGATTACGACAGTGAGGAAAAAGAGTGCACCTATGTTTGTGCACACATCTGTGCACTACAATATCTCTTTCGTAGTAGGTAGATAGGTAGACTGGTTTATTGACTTTTTGCCACAAAACTGAACATTGCATAATGTGTGTTATAAAGTTAACATAAAGTTCATTTTCGCACAGTTTTATGGCAAAAGTTGCTTCCATTCTATTCGAAGCGGTGTAAATTGGGCCTTAGATTCTTAACAACAAAAGTCTTAATCTTAGTGGTTTTTGGTTGCTATCTTTAATACCCCTATATTCTGTGTACATGATATATTTTATGTATTTTCTGTGTAAATGATATACAAAGTGTTGTTTTAAAGCCAAGTCATTTTCTAGGAGGTAACTGGGCTATCGATTCTGAGTCCGAATCAATAAAAAAAAATTGTATGAAAATATTTTTCTGTAAATTTCGGAAATCCATAAGTGCGAACTACACGCCGCCGTCTTGTAACCAGCTTTATAACGCGGCTTAACACACACAAACTCAAACACGTAATTGATATTATTCCTAATTCCATAAAACTACAATAAGAAATATTACTGTCGCTTATTGTGAAATACTGTTGAACTTACACGATTTATCATAGCATTATTTTAACTATTGGCCCGAAACTTTTTCTTACATTGAACCTTTATGACTTCTGTGACATGCCCCCGAGAAATGACACTATTTCAAAACTACACCTTGTATACTTTCTGTGTAAATGTAAAAAGAAAAACTTATGTACCGCAAGGGCAAACAATTTCTTATTAAGAAATACTTGGTATGCTTTCTCACTCATTTGACTAAGTGCTAACCCAGTTTGTGTACAATAACTCGGTAAAATTAAACTAGACTTTGTGTTTACTCGTGCTTGCAATCTCTAGTACTGAGAGTAGGTAAGTTAGCAAATTTGTATTCGTTGCTAATCCAGACGTATGATTCTAAAGTTCTAAATGAATAACTATCGTACTAATATTTATAACTGGGAAAGTTTGTGCGGATGTATGGACGAATGCATGTAGGTTTGTTACTTAACTCGTCCAGTACCAGTTTTGTAGACACAATTATAGAACAATAGGTTGCGGTCACCGGTGACCGCTTGGTGTTTGATAGTTTAATTAACTAAATCGCGGGTTACTCACGTGAATATACTGAGAAAAGCTTTACTAGTTTCGAACCATAGAGGGGTTCTTCCTCATGAGCAGCGTGCGCGGTCGCGGCGATGTCACGCAGCTCACTGGTCATCATATTCACGGGAGTAACCCGCGATTTTAATTAATTTAGTATGTCTCACGATAGTTATTATAAAAACATATGCTTGTTACTCTTTCATGAAGAAACTACTAGACGGATTTGGATATAGGTTTTAGTCTGGACTGGACAACACGTGCGGTAATTTAGATATATCTAGGAAACACGGGCGAAACCGCTGGCAGATGAAAGCTATTAAACTATGTATAATAACAAATGATATAACGAATATAATACTTTTCTCTGGCGAATTACCACAGTTTTCACTGTTCTCTTGTTACTTGTCTTATTCGACAGTTTTCTTTTCGTCCTATATGAAACGAAAAATACAAATTACTCGTTAATGTTGACCAGAAAATCCATTGACATGGAAAAAGTCATTCACATGGAATTGATTTAACTCAAGAATGGATTCGTGGTTAGATAAATCAGGGGTATAATAATTTGGATTGATGTCTGTGTGAAAAAAAGATTATAGGGGATCTATTTGGTTATTTTTTGGTAGACATTGGTTTGTTACGTATTCACTTAAATAAGTAGGTATTATTATTTATCTCTATAAAGGGCAGGGTGGAATTTTGTAATGCCATCTGAAGGGGAAGTACCTACTCTTAATAAACAAGATAGAAAATTTAACTTTCCTTTATTTTTGAAAAGAAACAAACCTGCATTCAAAGATTTTAAAAAATTAGCTTGCCTCACACGGTTATCGAACCGACTAAAATCTGTCAAAGTTTGCACCCCGTACTTTTATTGCGTCGATCGTTCATTGTTTTCCTTTCATTAAATTTATGAAGTTTCTTAGGGAGATTTCATCATTATTGACCCTAACAATCGATGTAATAATTGTACAGGATGCAACTTTTACAAATTTTAGTCGGTTCCGGTACCGAGTGCGGCAAGCGAATTTTAAATCTTCGCATGCAAGTTTTGTTCCTTTTCAAAAATGAAGGAATGTTTTCTTTGAGTAAAATCTTCTATCTAAAGTATTAAGACTACTTCCCCTTTAGGTGGCATTACAAAATTCCACCCTGTATATCTGAGTAATTCAAGCAGGTATGAGATAAATGAGAGAAATCTATCAAATACTCTTTCTTATTCCTATTATTCTTACGTACCTAGCTTGGTACATTACTTTCTGTACACAGCACACACATTTCCTTGAATTGCCTAGAAATAATTAAGCCTATCCATTAACTATCGAAAGCTTTTTAGTTAGGTACAACTCCTTACTTAGAACTAGCGGCTTCATTTCCTGGACTGATTCCAACAGCTTTTGATTGAATACTTAAGTGTTAATGTTGTGTAATTACCACTTCGTAATTTATTTATTTTCTAAAGGAATTAGAGGAAATATTCTTCAAATTATATTAGGTCGTAAGTTTGTATTTTCTGCGGTATTGTAATTGAACGTTCTCCATAGAACTAATCTAGGGTATCGTAGGGTAGGGTAAACATCAATACATAGTATAAAACAAAGTCGCTTTCGCTGTATGTCCGTATGTATGCTTAGATCTTTAAATTACGCAACGGATTTTGATGCGGTTTTTTTTAATAGATAGAGTGATTCTTAAGGAAGGTTTATATCATGCATATTGCACCCGTGCGAAGCCGGGGCGGGTCGCTAGTATTTAATATATGCCTTTAAGAGGGGTAAACAAAGATACGACTTAGAGGTAAACAAAGGTACCACTTTCACTTTTAACCACCTAGGTACCCATGTTTTAAGTTCTTTGCAATTGGGATTGAACTTCACGATATTTGCTTAATCACTTCAACTCAATCTTATTTACACTCATTAAACCATTATCCGTAATGGTTATCTCCTTGGTCAAAAGGTTGGGGGTCTCTGGGATGCTCTTCGAAAATCTGATTTTACCTACTTATTTTTAACCACAAAAATAACATAATTCACTCATACTAAACCCTCTTTTCATCAATTCCAGTACCGCAACAAGCTGAATGAACAGCAGAATGGCAGATTATCAGCGCAGCGGGCGGCGCTGGGTGCGCGGCAGGAGGAGATGCGAAGTATCGACCGCCGGGTCTCAGAGCTGCAGGCTCGGCTGCTGAGGAAGAGGGCCCTGAACAGGCAACTAGCGGCTGCCCATCGACAGCCGCAGCAGCAGAGGTGAGTTTTTTAATTCTTGAAGCTTAAAAATTTTTGAATAAGTACCCTTAAAAATATCGGCAGCTCTTTTCACTCCTATGGTGTAGCTAGTGTACATGAGTGAGGTTAAAAACGAATTGTATGCTATCGAACCCTTTTTCAGTTTGGTTTCAGAGTCAAAATATTTTGATTATTTCGAATTTTGATAGCTATGTAGGCTGAATATCTAGGAATGATGCTGGCCCAAACCGCTCGTTACCAATACCACTAATTTGAATGAAGAACATGGGGGCAGATTTGAGAATTTGATTATGGTGCCGATGACACATTCAAATTAATAATTCACACCATTGTTATTTAATTTTATTTATTATCTGTCCACCTACACTATGTGGAGATAATTTAAAGCTCTTGTAAAGACACCATTAAACCACTTAGCTACGAAAAATGTCACCCCCAAAAATAATTAGGTCCATTGTGCTTGTGAATTACTCACTCGAGTAAAGTCGTAAGTTCATAAAATTGTCGTTTCTCCCGTTCCTCGGTGAATGTGGTTCCGTGGCTGTCGGTACGGAACAATAGAGCTTGGAAGCACAATAGACTATAGAAACAGTTGAATTTTATAAATTATTAATGTTAACTTTCGTAGTTCATTATAATGTTTTATAAGGGTTAGCGTAGATCCGGAAGAATTTACTAATTACGTGCCGGACTACCTACTGCTGAACTTCTTGTCAGGGTACGAGTTGGATATCGCAGTTCAAAAGCTCCAGGTTTATCAGAGAGCGGTTTCTGCCAAATATGGAGTAATCTTCTAGCTAGCTGTAAGCTCTAAAAATTTAAGTAATGAAGGTAAATTAATTCACAATGAATATTTTCGTTCCAGAACGACGAATCCCACGCCCATGCAACAGTTACCTAGCTACTCAACTGGTAACAATGTGGTAAATAGTCAACCAAAGAACCAACAAGCCAGAGGAAATGTTGCTGCCGTGGAACCTTACAATCATGTGCCCCATGCCCAGAGCGTTAGTCATAATGCCAATTTCCAGGTAATTTTTCAGTTATAAAGATAATTATTACTTTAATCCTTACCTATTGTCATTGAAATCGTATTTATTAATGTTATATGAAAAAACACAATATGGTGATATAGTGCAAGTTAAATTAAATACAAATTATAATTTCTTCCAGGCAATGAAGCAGAATGTATTACAAAACAACGTGCCATTAAAACAACACACACAAAGCGACAACATTCAGAGTCATTTAACGCAGGAAGCGCATTACTTACAACAGAAACAAATGATTAACCCGTTGTTCAACGGCTACACTCACTCACAGGGGCTACAGGAGAATCAATATCCGGGGCAGTATCCAAACAAACATGAGAACTTTAGTCATGTTCAGCAAGGCATCGGCAACGCTTACGATCAGAAGGCTATGCTCGATCAAAAACAATACATGGACTACCTAAAACAACCACAATACAGTCCGAATAGCACGAGCAGTTCGAATAGCAATCAAACAAATAAAGATCTGAAAATTAACGAGCAAGAATTCCTTCCAGAATTTGCTGCGAGTAAGTCAGATCCTAAATATCAAACATTGCCTTACAATACAAAATTCCCACAGAGTACGAACGGGAAATTAAAACCCGAAGTTAATGGTAAAAACAACGAAAACCAAGATGCGAAAAACGCGATCAATGTAAATCACATGACTGTACATTCTACGCCACTTTCGGTTGTGAATAAAAGTCTAGCGACACCTCTAAGTCAAACGGAAACTACATATCAGCAGGAAAACACATATCAGTTGCAAAAATCTGACTCTTCTAGTAGATGTAATCAGGAAGGGAAGGAGAACCAGGCATATCCACAGAATAGGCTAAGTCAGAATAATAGTCAGAATAATGAAGCTTCAAAAGGAAACGGGAAGAGCCAGCAGGTGTTAAAAGGCAGCTCACCAAGTTTGGGCTCCAGTACAACTTCGGCTAGCAGTTCTATTGGATTTGGGGTGAGTTTCTGCAAACTATTGTACTTTGATAATAAGCAATTGAACTTTAATTGTTAACTTATCAGGCAGTCAATTCCATAACTCTAATCAAAACCTACTAACCCGTCTTTTAAAAAAAATCAAATTGGTAATGGACATGGTTATTTATTCGATTGACCAGCATTCAATTAAACAAATTCACTAACAACCATCATTACTCCATAATATTTCTACAAAACGCTTGTATCAGTTGCTGCACATTCACGCATCACCTGTAAATATCATCATCATTCATTAATTCCAGAAACCTGTATCGAGTGTTGCACCCACATCAGTTCAGGTCTCAAGCGGGAAACCGTCACCCATTTACCAGACATCCTCCACAAAGATCCAACCGGTCCAGCCACAGACCGTTCAGACTCAAAGCATCACTGTATCATCATCAAATCATGTAGCTAGTAATGTGGTGACCTCCCAACCCCAGATCGTTAGGAACACGGCGTCAGGACTGTCCACCAGCACGGGAAGTTCATTCACCGGCCAGAATGCGTCGTCACAGAGTATCTTGCTGTCACCACCTCAGAGTGCCAGCACGCCACTCTCAACGCCAGATGTTAGCGGTACAGACAAATCCCCTAAACCGGCTCTACCTCCAAAACCCACCATCAAGGTATGTGAATCATTCCATTTTTAGCTTTTAAAATCATATAGAAACTCATTTGCATTAATTAGAAGATCATTATTATCGCAAAAATCTGAATAACGTAAGAAAAAAAAACTATAAATGAGGAGAAAAAGATCGATGTTGTCTAAAAAGTAATAATTTTCTATTTCAGACACCACCGAGACAGTCAGTGAACAACGACGTTGGCTTCAACCAGTCTACTGATAACATAACACCTATGCCCACCATACCCTTGCCTTCAGATTTATCAAACGATAGTGACCAACAAAACCAGAAAGACACAGTCAGTAGTACTAGTAGCAACGAAATGATTATAAAAGCACGCCCACTTACAATAAGAAAACCACCAATGAGTGAGCAGCCTAAACTTAGAAACGTTAGTAACACGAAGAATGGAATAAGTGTAAGCATAAATCGACGTATAGAGATGCCGCCAGCGTTTTTATTCCCCGAAATGGATCACTTAGTCGATTCCACGCCTAATGAAAACGGCCTAAAGGATAAGAAACAGAAGGATGAGGTTGATAGAGCGCTGAATAACAATAACATATCAATAGGACAAGATGATAGTAAGGATATTGTTGTGTCAGATATTACGGAGCAGATCAGTTCGGTAGACTTAAACGGTCAGGATTCTCAGGGTACTGAGAATGTTCTGAGGCGAAAGAAGGGTAACTTGAAGCAAGGAGGCAAAGCTCCGCTAGCCAGGCGAGTTAGCTTCGATCCCCTCGCTCTGCTGTTGGATGCTAGTTTAGAAGGCGAGTTAGAACTCGTTAAGAAAACGGCAACACAGGTATGAATATTTCTAAACTTATTTCACTTTCACACCTATCTTTCTATTGCCAAATTATTTTCTTAAAAAGATACATGCTCAATACATACTCAATGGTCATGTGCTTACAAGAAATGAAGGAATTACCTCAATCAGGACTCTAGAAGTTACATTGATGACTAACGCAATAAACTATTCCAATTTTCAGGTGCAGAATGCAAGCGCTGCAAATGACGAAGGGATCACTGCTCTACATAATGCGATCTGCGCTGGGCACTTCGAAATCGTCAAGTAAGTATGCAAATTTAAATTGTTGTTAAATGAATAACTAAAAAGACAAATAATGAATATTTCAAAGAACACCAAAATAAACTCCAGTTTTATCTATTTGTGCATAGGAACTAATATTGTTATGATCTATTCGCTTTCAGATTCCTAGTGGAGCTAGGTTGTGATGTAAATGCGCAGGACTCCGATGGCTGGACGCCACTACACTGTGCCGCATCTTGCAACAACCTAGCTATGGTCCGCTTCCTCGTCGATAATGGTATGTTGATGGGTTTATTTTCACCATTTTTCTTAACAATAAGTCAATCCACTTGACGGGGTGCACTACCACGCCTCTAGATACAATTTTTCTATGTTTAAATACCAGACAAGCAAAAGACAAAAATACTACCTCTTGCTTCCCTGTAATTTACCTCATCTTCCCAGTTTTAGTACTTTATTAGTTAACAACGCCATCTAACGGAGATTTGATGAACTGTTTCAGGTGCGTGTATATTCGCAACGACGCTGTCTGACCATGAGACGGCGGCCGAGAAGTGCGAAGAGGACGAGGAGGGGTTCGATGGATGCTCGGAATATCTTTACAGTGAGTACTTTTAAATCTGGAATCAGTTGCCTATCAATGGCGACAGATAGCGTTAAAATAAATGCTCAGAACAGTATTTGTTTCGTGATGTTTGTGATTTATGTGCTAGGATTAGATATACTTATATATAGTAAACGTATTCACAGTAATACAACACAAAAAAACAGTGTGAGGTAACATTATTAAGAAAACTCCTACATTCAGAATTATGCACAAATTTATTAATATATTCTCCCGCAGGTGTACAAGAAAAACTAGGCATAATGAACAACGGGCTCGTGTACGCGGTGTTCTCATACAGCGCGGCGCGTAATGACGAGCTCTCGTTCGAGACGGGTGCACGGCTGCAAGTGCTGCGCAAAGGAGACGACAATGAAAGGGAATGGTGGTGGTGCCGGGACGACCAGGCGACTGAGGGATACGTGCCTAGGAACTTGCTTGGGGTGAGTTACATAATAATTTTTTTCTGATGATCAGTAAGACTGTCTTGTTAGACGAGTGGTCGCAAGTGCGACTGCCGGGCAAAGGGTCTTGGGTTCGATTCCCGGGTTGGGCAAAGTATTACTGGGTTTTTTCAAAAAATGTCAGTAGTAGCACGGACTCTGGAATAGCGCCCGGTATATGGCAATAGGCTCACCCCCTATTACATGGGACTCATAACATAAATAGTGACAGTGGCATTAAGTGCCGTAGATAATGTACACATCTGCCTACCTCTTCGGGGATAAAAGGCGTGATGTTAGGCGCGAGGTAAGCGCGCCGCCCATGTATATTCGTATTTTGCTTTATAGTCACTACAACACATGCAGAGTCTGGATTTATGACTGAAGCCAATAATGTCTGGATATTGAAAGAAAGTAAGAAACATTTAACGGATAACACCATTTACGTCTTCCTCCCGCTATTGCCTCTCCGATAAAAAAAAAAGATACCTAGGCTGAAATTTGTTCGGTTTGTCGGTCTAATTTTCCATGCATATGGAATGTAGAGGCGTTTTGTATTGAGTGTTTGAAATATTTATCTAACTACCTATATAATTAATGGTGCAATTTCTTTTGTTTCAGTTATATCCACGAGTAACCACACAGCAAGATTGAAGTCTTGAACGATGACCTGATTAATTTGTAAATATCTATTAGTTACTTTTATTTTTTATGTATTTATATCACTGTAATCTAAAAGTAACGACGCTGTATACAATTTTATCAAATCTAATATTTTGTAAATATTTAACTGTATAAGTCAAATGAATGAGATTATATTGTACATTTTATAAATATTTTGAGTCATCACTGATATTATTGGTCATAAAATTTGTATATCTTAGTTCTGCAAATGTTGTGAACTAATTACACATAAACTGACAATACAAATAATTATGAAGAATTACTTTGGTGTTTTATTACCCTTTTGTTTTGAGGCGGGAAAATCATCCAGTGACTTCTCCCGCCCGGGTGAGACGAGAGGGAGTGTCAGACTCTTACTGACTAAAAACCACCCCGTTCCCACTCCTACACTTTGAACTGGAGCCCCGGAAATCCGTTAAACCTTCCGCGGCAGTTTTATTACTCTTAGCATGCAGAGACAAACCAGCAACTGAGACAATGAACACCCGTCTATCACTACTACTACATTACAATCGATTCAAAATTGAAACTTGGTGAACTCTCTTAGACTCAATTCCACCAATCTCTGTAAAAATTCAGTTACACGTAACTGTGATTAGAGTAAACTAACCGACTTCTAATCTATCAGTACTTAGGTGTGTAAACTAAAAGTTCGTATGATTAATAATAGTTATTTTTTAGTTTTTAGTTTTTACTACTTATTCATTTGTTTTTAGTGTTTGAAGCCGGTTTTTAAATGCAGTTTTTTATTTTTATTTTATACTTTTTAGTTTAGTACAATGATACACATAATGTAGGTACAACCCACATGAGTGCAAAGTTTGCCTCAATACAAATTATTCAAACTCAAGCACTAGGTAGCTACTGTTAAGTATTGAGGAGTTCCCTCAACTATCGTACTACTTCATCATCATGCCCTTATTGACAATCACATCCCACTTAGTGTTAAGTCCTCATCAATACAAATTAATGAAACCCAAACACGGGGTCACAGGTGTTAATCCTCGACAAGTTCCCTCGACTGGCTCACGGCTCCATCATTAGATCGATTGACTCCAACCTTTATCAGATTGTAGTGGTTTCAAATAAGTACTTAATAAGCGATTAACAAATTCACTAGTCATCTTAATAATTTTTAAAAGATCCCCCAGTGTCCTTGGGATTCCATCTTCAGATACTGACCTGATGACAATGGGACCAAATGACGAGCGTAGGGTAGAGTGGTAGCCTATGAACCGCGTGTACACTATGAACCATAGTACCTACCGGCCATACCCAACGTTGCCAGCTCGCGCAAAAAACATGTCAGCACTCGCTTGCCACGTCGTGAAGTTTGATCCAGTCGCCGCGCGCTTGTCGCGACATACGCACGCGTGAGTCGCGTCTTTGTGTTTACTCAAGCAAAAACGACGAAAAAAACGTGAGTTTCTTTTTGTAATTCCTTAATAATCTAACTCTTATTTAAGTATGTGTTAATTTACATGTGTAAAGTAGGTCTTTAGGCTTGTTTGAGACTAGTTTTTGGAATTCATTCTCAACGTTTTTTATATAAAACATAACCTAACATTTTCTAAGAGGGGGTGGGTACGCTGTGAGCCATTTATCCTGGGTAAGCAACGAACCACGGTTCATTGTGTACCACATCTAAATGTTTTGTATTATGCAATACATATAAACAGGTGGGAAGTATTATTCCAGACAACCTCTAAATTTTAATGGGAGTAGGTATAATCAATTAATCAATATTTGTCTATTTCAGCATGGGACGAAATACGGTTGGAAGGGAAGCTCGTAAAAAGGGGTATCACACCGCGGAAGCCATACAAAGAGGTATAGAGAAACACTTGTCGGGATTAAGCATTCGAAAAGCAGCCAAAGAATGTAACCTTCCTTATCCAACACTGCGAAGGTACGTCACAAAATACAGGAACAATCCGTCGTGTAGACTAGAGCCCCATTATGATGCAAGTAAAATTTTTACTGACCAACAAGAAGACAGCATAAAGGAATATTTGTTGGATTGTGCAAATAAATTCTATGGCCTAACTTCTAAAGACTGCCGCAGAATTGCATACCAACTGGCAGTGATAAACAAAATCGAAATGCCACCATCATGGAAAGTTCATGAAATGGCAGGCCGAGATTGGATGAGGGGGTTTAGGGCAAGACATCCTGAATTAACTGTGAAAAAACCCGAGCCTTGTAGTATAGCAAGGGCTACAGCATTTAATAAAATAAATGTGCAAAATTTTTTCGACAACCTTAAAGAAGTTTTAAGTCGCAATCCATCATTTGCAAATGGCAGCCGAATATATAATCTAGATGAAACCTCGACCACAACAGTGCAACGTCCACATAAAGTGCTGGCAGCTAAAGGACGCAATGTCTGTAAAGTCACAAGTGGGGAGCGCGGAATTTTGGTTACCACTTGCTGTATTGTAAATGCGATTGGTCAGGCCTTACCTCCAGCTATGGTATTTCCACGAAAAAATTTTAAGGCACACATGCTGTATGGGGCACCCCCAGGAACACTTGGGCTAGCCGCACCCAGCGGTTGGATGAATACAGAATTATTTGTTGAAGTAATGAAGCATTTCATCCAGGTTATTTGCTTATTTGTTTGCTATTAATATTTGTAGGTACGCAATCGACAAGTTTATTTTGATTTGTCTATTTGTTTCAGTTCACTTCAGCATCGACCGATAACCCAGCTTTGCTTATTCTAGATAATCACGAGAGTCACCTGTCTATAGAAGCTCTAGATCTAGCTAAAGCCTCAGGTGTAACTGTCCTTACGCTTCATCCTCATACCACGGCTAGACTGCAACCTCTGGATGTTGGATTAAATGGTCCATTCAAGTCTTTTTATAATTCAGCAATAGACTCGTGGTTATTACGTAATCCAGGAAAAAATTTAAGCATTTATAATGTTGCTGAATGCGTAGGTATAGCATATATGAAAGCTATGACTCCAACAAATATAACACAAGCGTTCAAAAAATGTGGTATTTTCCCATTTGACGATCAAATATTCACAGATATTGACTTTTTACCAAGTGAGATAACTAATAGACCACCACCAAATGTAATAGATGTAGAGAAATACCCTGATGATGTTGGACGTTGTGGGTCACCATCTATATTGACACCAGCTATTTACAGTGACGATGATGAAACTGATGAAGAAATTGAGAACATTATGGAAGAATTACCCTATAACAAACCTTTACCATCCACTTCATATCACACACCATCGACATCCGAGGTTCACATTACGCCGCAAGCAGAAGTTTCCGCTGCTATAACGGATGATCGCGAATCAAACTATATTTTTCAGTCTCAAGTGATGTCTAGTCCCAATATTGTAACTCAAGAGATTGCATCTTGTTCCAAAGAAACATCCCAGCCGACTGCATCCACGTCCAGAGTTCAGATTTCATCTGAAATAAAAACTAGTTCTCCAAAAATGTCAGGAGGTTCCAATAACTTTATTTCACCAAAGATTTTCAGGCCACCATTAAAAGCAGGACCTCGTAAGACTATCAAAAGAAAACTAGGAAAGAGTATGATAGCTACTGACACACCCGAGAAGAACGCTTTAGCTGAAAAGAAACAAAATAAAGAGAAGAAGAAGAAATTAGCAAAAGTAGTGAAAACAAAGCTTTTTGAAAGCATTAAGAGAGAACAATCAGATACATCTGACGACGAAGAGTTCATTTGCAGTGGCTCATCTTCTGGAGGAGATTTTTTTATTGAATCCGATGAGGAAGAGATTATCTTAAATGACAACTTCTCTCCATTATCGAGGAAACCTCGACCTGATGACTACGTTATTGTGGCATTCAATATAAAAAAGATAAATGTTTTCTACGTGGCACAAATCTTAGAAGAGCTGGAGGAAGAAGACGGCGATTATTATGTATCATTTTTCAAATTAAAAAGCAAAATTACACAAACATTTTCGCTACCACTTGAACCAGACACAGCAGCTGTGAATAAGACAGATATAAAATACATTTTACCTCTTCCCAACATTAATGGCACGGTTCGTCGACAAGCAACATACAAATTCCCTATCGATATGTCCCTACTGAACTTGAGATATTAACGTCTTGAGAAAGTAACGAATTTTGATTTTGATCTCTTTCATGAACAATTAGCATTTTAGAAGACATTTTAAGTAATTTTTATTGTTATGTTGATTTTTTTTTACATTTAGAAACTTGTTATGTTGATCTCTCGTGAGCATACTATGACTGAGAACGAGCGAACTGATAGTTCCTATTTTTACTTAGTGCTAAGTACAATTTGTGATTTATAGATTAAGACTGATTGTGATAAAAACATAAGTGATTTTATAAATGTTCTGATGATTCTATTAATATTAATAAGTAAGTACAAACTGTTTTTTCTTATTTAGGTAGAGTTTATGCGTAACAAAACTTTCAAAAAGTTTATGATTATTGTTAAAAAGTAAGTTTTAAGACTGATTATGAGGTTTTTATATAACCAGAAACTTAATAAATATAGAAACTTATAAATGTAGTATTTATTTTACATTTGAAACAAACAATTACCGGTCTTTATCTTACCGTGATTCATTGTGTACCACCTGGTTCATTTAATACCACCCCCCTAGTTCATTGTGTACCCTTAGGAGTACGCTATGAACCATTTCCCTTGTTTTAAAAAAATCTGCATAAATTAGGCAACAGCAAATATTTTCCACATGTTTTAACGCAATTTGGCAGCTTATTAAATTACCTATCTTCTGAGATAAAAATATTTTTTTAGACTGTAAAAACGAGTGTTCTAGCGCTCTTCAAACTTTTGGTGGTTCAATGGCTACCACTCCACCCTACCCTTTCAAATAAGAAAAGAATTTTAAAAATCGGGGCAGGCGTCTTCGTGAAATCTAGAGATTATGACAAACATAAAAAAATTACAGTCGAATTGAGAACCTCATCCTTTTTTTGAAGTAGGTTGAAAAACTACCAAAAGAACTCCTTATATTATTGATATTGGTTGCACCTGTGGAGATTATGCACAAAAGAGCCAAGGGATGTACTAAAGTCAAGACGTTAATATCACTGTAAAAGTTAGCGATTTATTATGTAGGTAAGTACCTAACTAAGTTACAGTTAAGTATGCCACAATAACTACTTTTTGATCTAAAAATGTGCAATAGTCACATTGTCCCGATACAAACCAGACCACATTATTAGTACCACTCCCAGCAGAATTCGAACTATGTATTAAATAAATTCCAGGACTCGTATCTCTTAAAGCATTGAACCAATTTTACTGACATTCAGTTATCATATATCGATAATTTTAGACTAGACCGGAGGAAGGTCGGAGGTATATTTACCCCGGAATGTTCAAGGGAACGGGAACTATACCTTAAAATTCCGTGAATCCCTATTATTTAAACAATGGAACGTCTTTGATTTAAATTTAGTTCAACGATAAAATTTGTGACCCAGGAAAAAACACCCGAGTTTTCAACCTGGAAATCCTACAAGACCAAGAACTATGCGTTTAAAATCCAGGCATTCCCTATCTCTTAAACCGTTGAATTTATTTAAATGAAATTCGGTACAATATGGATTTGCAAACATAGAAATGAACGAGGTGCATTTTAGTCAGTAACTCTGGTCTGGCACTCCCTTTCCCTAGGACGAAAGGAGTCATTTGAAGAAATGCCAAAAACAAAAATTTCGCATTTTTGTCACAATTGCCTTAGATTCTTTACTCTAACAATATTGATCATTAATTTGCATTTCCTTCATTTTCTTAACTGTACAATACAATTGTCATTTGACAGTCATTAATATGGAAAAATTGTCAAATACTCAAAGTTGTTCTTCTGATAAAATTTAACTGAACCTTGAAAAATTGGCCCCTAGAAAGTAATAAACACACATAAATAAACGACTGACATTTTGGATCCACAAACATTTCTAAGTGACATTGCGTCCGCCTTTTTTTCAACTTCCTTGAGTGGGTAAGCCATTGATGAAAAGTACTAATAAAACATGGGATTCATAACATAAATAGTGAAAAGTGGGTGTTACATTGTACAGTGGTATAATGTGCAGTTCTGCCTACCCCTTCGGGGATAAAAGGCGTGATGTTATGTTACTAATAAAACAATAATGAGTGATCCGTTCACACTTAAATGCAAAAATCTGAGCCTATTCACTTTTACTTCACTAGTAGACTTGTAACTATTGCAGTCCTCGCACTGCGCCAAAAATATGATGTATTTTTGTAGTTCTAGTAATCTATTGGTATCCAAACATTGAGTAACAATGAGTGTAGGAAAATGAGTATTTTTCAATAAGTTGCCCAGCATAGTTTCTGGCTCCATTGTAAACCAATCCAATTTGGAAATCAATACCTAATAACACTGCCAAATGAATAAAACCAAACCCAACAACAACATTTCAAACTTTTCAAGTCTGTGTTCAAGACTGCCACTTTCATTAACAAAAATAAAAACTAAAAGATTAATATTATAAAAATTTATTATCTAAATACATTCACATGTCTCCCTCATCAGAATCCTCGATATCAGCCAGTGCCTGCTTGGCCAAGTTCTCAGCTTCCGTTGCCAGTTCCCTAGGAACGAGCTGGTGGCGTCCATTTGTGTCCTTGGACACCCATGAGAGCTCCAACTCGAATTGCTTGTCCTTTAGCTCATCGTGCACGAGGTAGATACTGAAATGACAAAGAGAACATTAGAAGCAAATGCATAGATAAAGGTTTTTGCACTTTATAAATTAGTTGCTATTCAGTTATCATTAGTTCTATCATTTTTTTTATGGGACAAACTCGCCCCAACCTCTCAAAACCGCTGCAACACCTGTAAGCCAAGATCTACAATAGATACAATCATGAAAATACTGGAACACTGAAGTCACGGACATGGACATGAATAACTGCCTTGGTTCCCACAACGGATCAGAAGATATTAAAAACGATAGTTTCCACTTCCCTCAGTGAATTACTTCTATCAGCAGTGTTATTAGTTATATCAGAAAAATTGTAGAATTAGTTAGGTTGTTTTATAAATGTAAGCAGTGGATGGTTGAGTCGAAAAACAAGCGTATAAAAAACCAGCTTGATATGAAAACAGATTATTAAGTTATGTCTGCACATCTAATATATAAAATTCTCGTATCAGTTTTCGTTGCCATACTCCTCCGAAACGGCTTGACTGATTTTGATGAAATTTTTTGTGCTTATCCGGTATCTATGAGAATCAGCCAACATCTATTTTTCATCCCCTTAAATGTGAGGGGAATCCACCCCTACATTTTTTTTTATTTTTTAGACAAAATTTTTAATTTCTATTTTTTTACGATACAACATACAAAAATACATAAAATCCTCAATTTTCACCCTTCTACGAAATTGTTTATATGGCAAAACAACGTTTGCCGGATCAGCTAGTAATATATAGGAATCATAAAATTTTACATGTGAATGGCTAATGCCTACGAAGAAGATGGTTATATATCACAAATCTCTGACTATGAAAATACCTAAATTCTGTACACATACATTATACAAAAGGAGAATGCCCATGGACAGTACTCTTGATAAATTACTTGTGTCTCAAAATCTCTAACGGCATGAAACATCTAAAATAAAAATATATTTTTAAACAGACTTTGAATGATATTTACATTGGGATAGTTTTTTGAAAATTAATTAGTAATTTTATGTTTCCGAAGTTATAGTACGCCATTTATAGGTATGTCTGTGCCGACACATGTCAAATGACAGCATGGCAGTTTACGCACATAGACTATCGATGAACGATCCTCCTTTTTCGATCTTAGGGAACTTTATTAAATCCGTTCCCTAAATGTTATTTTTTTTATTGTATTCTATTTTTTGTATTGATTGTTCAATCTATTATTATAAAGTAACAACATTCACTGTAAACGGCGGCATCAGCACCATGTTATATTTGTGAAATACCACTGGCTGGATTACGGAAATAGAAAAAAAATCGATCTTTCATCATTATGGGTAGAAGCTTATTTGACGTTTATTGCGCGTCTGTCATATTTGTGCAATACAATACTGTTATTTCTGCTGATTTTGGTATGTTCTGCGTCGAGTCGAGCCTTTTAGTTCCTCCGTAATTCCTGTCAATCCATTGAAAATAAACATACTTTTAACGCCTCAGCACGGTGTGTGTTGTTTATCACTAATAACTGGACTTTTTGAGTTACGATCATGCCGAGTGCGACTGTGATGCAATGTCTCAACTGCTCACAAGAAAATAAATAGTAATAACATAACATAACATAACATCACGCCTTTTATCCCCGAAGGGGTAGGCAGAGGTGCACATTATGCCACTGTACAATGTAACACCCACTTTTCACTATTTATGTTATGAGTCCCATGTTATAGGAGTGAGCCTATTGCCATATACTGGGCACAGTTCCAGACTCCGTGCTACTACCTGATACTGAGATTTTTTTCAGAACCCAGTAATACTTTGCCCGACCCGGGAATCGAACCCGAGACCCTTTGCCCGGCATTCGCACTTGCGACCACTCGGCTAATAAAATAATAATAAGAAATAATCATTATTTTATTTATTGTATTTGTTTTTGTTTGTTTTCCTTCCCTCTGTAGGTATTTATAAAGGCCATGTCATGATACCTACCACATCTATGATTTGAGTAGGGCCTAGATATAACACTGTGCAATTGACTATTTTAGTAACGGTTTCTTTCATGCTTAGCAATTTCATGAAACGCGGGCGTTTTAAAAATGCCCAAAATCTAAATCAATAAGACTCGGTGAGGTAAACACATATGTACACCAGTAACTGGCCACCTGACAGAGCTAACACGTTACAGATTTTACACAAATAAGTATTCTTCCAAGATACCAAGCCATAAAAACCCATTCAGACCCTTTTAAATAGCTTTTTTCAGTTAATTATTGAACGGACATAACCTCAAAATAGTAATTTTATTTTGTGAATATCTCAAAAATGCCAATGTATTTTGTGTTAAATCTTTTGAGGTAGTATTTGGGCATGCCATCGAATATTTTAAAGATTATTTCATGGAGACA